GGAGAGAGAGAGAGAAGGGAAGAGGTGGGGAGGTTTTTGTGTGTGTGCATGTACTTTGGTGTGTGTGTGGGGTAGGTAAGGATATGTATTCTATTTTTGGTCTCCCATTGTTTGAGGCTGATGTTGACAGCAGGAGATGCGTTTTGAAATAATGTGAGCGTTCCTGGAGAGGAGCCAGGAAACATGTTTGGAAAATGTAATGAAAATGTTATTCTTTGACGTTTCTTTAAATATGTGTTCTGACATGCTGGAATCAGGCTCTCGTCAATTTTTGTGTGTGTGAAGTTATTGGTATCATCTTAAAGCTTTTTTCTTGTTTTCGATTTTAAAAATATCCATTTTTAAAATTTGAATACAAGTCGAGATATTTGCAATTGAAGGAGGTGGGGGTCGCCCGGTCTCAAAGAGTGAGAAAATGTCCACCAAAGTTTGGTTATTTCCTTAGCTTGAGAGTCCATGGAAACAGAAAATTAACATTTTTTTGCCTTTAATTGACGTTTTTCAGTACAACCCACACAGAAATGTGTTCTTTAATGGACACGGAAACTGTTGAGCCAAAAAACACAAAATTTCGATAAAGCTTCCCAGACCAGTGGAAAAATGCCTGTTTCTTCACTTTCATTATTTTGACGAGCGCCAGATTTCACCACGCTGCCTCACTCATGTATTTTTCCTTGTGCAGTTCATTTTTGTCAGAAAGAGATTAGTTCATGTACGTGCAGGCCTGCCACGAACTCCGATAAAATCTGAACCTTCCTGTATTTTCTTAAAAAATTTTGTCAGTTGAAGAACCTGGATTTGTATAAAATCCTTTTATGAAAAATAATTCTTTTTCTTCAAGGCATACGCAACTTATTGTAAATGACGCGGAAATTGGTTTATTTGCAATATTTGTGTGACTTGTCGTAAATGACGTATAAAAAACATGTTTTTATTTTCTCTGATTTACTATACACGTTTGTTTGCTACTTCCGGTTCGTAATGTTGTCTGATCTTTTTATCTACTGGGGTTCTGGAGACACTATTTTTTCCCCCCAACTTTTGACTTGTAGGGAGGGTTCTGAGGAAGACTCCGGCTATGTTGGGTCGTGGAGGGGTTGGTACGTCTGTACATGGATTTATCTGCCTTTATTTTATTTTTAATTTTTTCCCGCTTCTTTTTAACCCTTTCCACCCTCGCGGCGTGTAGAGCGCGCAACATTTATCCCCACGGACCATGATACAGGTGCGGTACACGCTATATCACACCGTCGCTGATTGGAGTGCCGTGGGGAAGAGTTTCTTACCATCGCCGATCGGCGTCCCATGGGGAAAAGAAACCGCTTCTTACTGTCGCTGATCGGCGTCCCATGGGGAAAAGAGACAGCTTCTTACTGTCGCTTATCGGAGTGCCGTGGGGAAAAGAGACAGCTTCTTACCGTCGCTGATCAGAGTGCCGTTGGGGCGAAGTGTTAAGGCTTGTTGTATGTTTGGATTTAGAGCTTCAGATACTCGGGGTCTTGTTTCCTGATGTTACTGGAATATTTTTTTGTGCTTTTGATAATTTTTTAATTCTCTTTTTAATCCTCCTTATCAGTCGAAGTAAGCAAGAAGACACAGTATTGTGTGAAAGGACTTAGTTTTAGTCTTAGGTTTGAAAGGCTTCAGTCCTTTTTGACTTTGAGATGATGGTCTGACTAAGTTTGAAATGGTTTCTTTTTTTTTAGTCAGAATTTGAGCAAATATTGCTGTAAATATTCTTTAAATAAGAAGTAAGATAGTTTTGTCGCAGACAAATCATTTGGCTGGATATATTTGATATCACGGGCATAGCTTCATGTCAATTGGAGATTTGTTTTGGTCACTGCAAAGTGACACAGGAAAATAAAGCTGCTCACTAACAAATTCTTCCTTCTTTGACATTTTGCATTGAAAGGATTTGCAAAGAGATGGGTGCGCTTTGTTTGAGGGCATCATTCTACTTCTTTACTTTCCCTGTGCTATTTCTGTCTGTCACTTTCACTTTTTCCTAGCTCTAAATGACCTTTTTTGTGTCGATGTGCTTCTCTTTACTCAAGACGAAGAAGAAGAACAACAAAAACAGTAGGGGATAAAACAGTCTCTTTTTGAATTTATTACATGTTGAAAAAAGATGAAGGGTTGGAGGATGCATTTGGTAGGTCCTCCTCCCCTGAAGTCGCTGCTGTCTGTCTATCTGTCTGTCTGTCTGTTTGCCTGTCTGTCTGTCTGTCTGTCTGTCTGCCTGTCTGTCTGTCCTACTATCCGTCTGTCTGTTTGTCTTGCTTTTCCCCCTGCACTGACAGCCGTTGTAATATTGATGTTCTTTTATTTTCTCAGAACTACAGGGTTGGAATTTTATTGGAGTAAACTTGAAATAACGAATTAAACAAGACCAAAAGGTTTTTCCCTATTTTCTTCTCTTGCCCTGCTACTTCTCGCTGCCACTGATGGTGAAACAAGGTCTTTGGTCCTACCTGTCCCCGTGGTTTTAAGCAAGAAAAATTCTGAAATTATGCATAAACTGAGCCCAAAAATGTGAAATTATGCGATTCTGTTAATTTTAACAAAGAACGATAAAGAAAAATAATCAGAAATTATGCAGAAAAGGATCAAATTGTGCTAAATTATTCGGGGTGCATAAAACCACGGGGATAGTCTTACCTGTATCATTGTGGAAAATATATCTTAAATGTTGTTGGAATCTTGACAAACAGGAATTTTGAAGAATGTTATTTAAGAGTCTGTGTTTTTTGTGGAACTTTGTGGAGTTTTTGTATAAATTTGTGCATTTCAAAGTGCTAAATCTTGATTTAACCCTCCAGGAGCCGTTAAACCTTTACCATTTCATCATTGTTGGTTAAGACGTATAAAATCTGGAGTCTGAAGGGAATACGCTATACCGGGGTTTCACTGTTTGTCAATAATTGTCTTGCACAATGTGTGAACTTTCCTGTCTGTTCAAGTACAAGTGGGTGGTTGGCAGGTGCTCTCTGTGATTTGCTCCTTCTTTCGAATCAAACATCTATCATCCTGATCTCTCCTCCTTCTTTTTTGTGTTTGTTACTCTCTTGTAACACCTCTAATCTTAGGCACTTATAATATGACCTTATTGTGTTGCAAGTGCCGTAAAATTCTTTTACAAAAACTAAAACCGACTTTGATGTCTGTAGTACAAGAATTTCTGAAAGAATCAGATAACATAAGATAAGATAAGAAAAGATAATGTCTGTTAATGAATGTCCGTTTCGTCTGACTGCTCCCTCCCTGTGGTGCAAACTTTGGTCTTTCACGAGCGACTTTGTTGTCTGATGGCTTCACAGTGTGATTTGTTTGTTTGTTTTTTCATTTGTTGCAAGCCAACTACAGATTTTTCATTGACAAACTTGTACCCTGGAGATGAGATTTATACTGTGAATAAAATGTTGATTCCCCATAGGAAAAATAAAGTGACCCTAACTTACCCCCACTATCTTCTTGGATTCAAATAGTTCCTCTTCTTTTTATTGCAGTTATTTGTTTGAATTTCTATAAGTTTTTGTTAGAATGGGCACTTCTGAAGGATGAAGTGATCTATATTTTGAAGAAAAAAAAGGTGAATAAGCACCAGAATTTAGGTTTTAAAAAAAATTTTTTTTTTCTTAAGCAGTAGAATTCTCATTTTTTCTAGCTTGAGACAAAATAGATATCAATAACAGTCTATATATGTGCGTCATAATCATTGTTGTGAAATCAGGCTCTCGCCAATGTAAAGAGATTAAAGAAACAGAATATATTTTTCTGCCAGTGGAGTAATTTTGATTCATTTTCTTTTTTTAGGGGGCTCTACACCTATTACTTCCATTTAAAACACTTTTCTGTTTGGAATTTACAGGAAACATTGATCAGAGGCTCCAAAAAAAAAAAAAGTAAATTTGCAGCTTCCTTGGGCACCCAAGCTTTGGAAGTCGTCAAAGTTTGGCAGCCATATTCTCGCTAATTTGTCCCCTGACACCATGCGATCTTCACCTCCTTCAACCTCAACAGCAAATATCTGGACTTCTATTCAAGGTTGATAGATGATTTTTTTTTCGTCAAAAGCAAGGCAAATGAACAAGCTTTAAGATTGTACCAATAATTCCATACGGCCAAACATTGAGGAGCGGCTGATTCCATCATGTCGTGATACATTATATTTGTATTATTAGATGAATGCATTATAAAATATATTTATAAATTATATGCCTTCTTGAAAGTAGGCTCTGTGTGTAATAGGATTTGTTGTTGTTAGCACAAAAATGAAATTGAAATAATTGGTCGCTTTTAAGGATAATGGGGCTATCCCGAAAAATGCTGTTTTTAGAAAAATTGAAGGTAAAGTTTTTGCCCCTTGTTCAGTTTTTTTAAAAGACAAGGAGAGTTTCCTCTATAACCAAACAAATATACACATCAATGATACCAAACTTCTCCTATAGGTCGGGCAATGCCCACTTTTGGTGTAGATGAAGATTTCTGAAAACCCCCGAAATCTGGGTTAGCCCGCTTGTCCTTAAAAGCGACCGATTGAGTGACTGAAACGGGAACGTTTTACTGTGACGTAGATTCTGTGAAGACTTTGAGAAACAAAAAGTAGCTGGTGTAGAGTTTGGGAGTCTGTGGTGCAGTAGTTAGGCACTTTGCAGCAGCATTCAGGAGACCCGAGTTCATTTCTCAAGAAGATAAAAAAGTTCTATCGAGTATCTCGGTCGGTCTTTCTGCTGGGATGTCGTATGTCATGTCCCGCTCAGCTCGGGTTGGTTCAGACAGGCAGGGTCGGTAGCCCGCCTCCTAAATGATCTAAATTGGGTTGATGGGGGGTATTAAAATGCCTAGATTTTAACCCTATCCGTACGCCCGGGGGTCATTTTGTACCCCCAGGGTTGTATTCTTCATATTTTACAATACTTCTAGTACGAAGATCTCTTTGAAACTTTCAGTATTTTTCAAAAAATTATTTTTTCAGACTGCTATGCAAAGCATATCGATCGGATTAACGAGTAAATTTCCTCTTTGGAAAGTGGTGGCACAGAGTCCCCACATCGTATGGATACAATAGTAAAACACGACGTACGGATAGGGTTAAAAAAATAGTTTTTTGATGTAGTTTCCAATGCTTCAGCTCACCGTGAAAAGTGAGGAAGCCGAACAGCAAAACTTTTAATTTTATTTATTTCTCTCAAAACTTCTTTTGTTTTTGATAATAAAGGTTATGAAAAAACTCATGGAAGGCCTCAGTCTCAACAAGATTTATTTACATCATGTATTGTTCGTCTCGGTATTTGCACAAATCTGCTACATGAAACAACAAACGTGGGTGGGACAAAAAAATAAAAAATATTGTGCGTTTAGTGGGAAATATAGAAAAGAAGAAAAAAAATATAAAAAATCTAGATCTAGTAGTCAAGTATGTTATCCTAATATTCCTAATGCCTAATGTCGCTATTTTCACTTGAGATCTAGCTGTTAGATTTTGAAACTGAAGCAAGTACGCCTACTTTCACTTTCAGAAAATAGTTATTAAATATCAGATCCATTTGTATGTTATTTCTTATGAAAATGCACTTGAACACATTTATACAATTCTCGTTCACAATGATACATTAATTGTATGTGTAGAATCACACTAAGGAAAGAAATCACACAATAAAATGATTACATATTAAAAAATTTTTTAAAATAACAAACTCCAGGTGAATTATTGATATTGAATCATTAAAAAAAATAACATGTAATATAATGCTTTGTTCACAATATCACAGTCAATGAGGTCTACATGGGGGGGGGGGGGGGGGCAATGGTCTCTCCTCTCAGGCCTTGTCAGAACAGGCACCAAAAGTAAACACTTGTGGTCACCGTAAAAATACACACATGTATAATATAATCAAACTTGTTCTTCTTTAATACGGTGCTTTCCTTCCTTCACCGTCACCAATCCCCTAGTCTGGCTTTGCCTATAATAATTGATTAATACGCACCTAAAGTAAAAACTTGCGGTCACTGTATAAAAACACAAATGTGAGGCAGCGTGGTGGAATCAGGCTCTCGTCAAAATAATCAAAGTGAAGAAATTGCATTTTTCAGTAGGTTTGTGTATTTGTAAAAAATTTTTGTTTTTTGGCTCAACACCTTTCGTGCCCATTAAAAAACTAATTTCTGTGTGGATTTTTCTGAAAAACGTTGAGTAAAGGCACAAAAACTGAAAATTTTCAGTTACCACGGACTCTTAAGCTAAGGAAATAACAAATCTTTGGCGGCCATTTTCTAATTAATTTTACCTCTGAAAACAGGTGACCCCCACCTTCTTCATTCGCAAATATCTCGACTTGTATTCAAGATAAATGGATATTTTTTTCATCCAAATAAAGACAAATGGACAAGCTTTAAGGTGATACCAATAACTGTACATGGCCAAAAATTGACGAGAGCCTGATTCCACCACGCTGCCTCACATATATGTGTGTTGTACTTCCTTCACCTTCACCTTCACCTTATCTAGGCTGGCTTTGCCATAATCATTAATTAATACGCACCAAAAGTAAAAACTTGCGGTCACTGTATACTGTATAAATACACAAATGTATGTTTTCCTTCCTTCACCTTCACCTTCCCCTCATCTAGGCTGGCTTTGCCATAAGAATTCATTAAAACGCACCAAAAGTAAAAAACTTGTGGTCACTGTAAAAAAATACACACAACTAATAGCCTACTGTATATCAAACTTGTTCTCCTTTAATATTATGCTCTCCTACCTTCACCCACCCCCTTTCTAGTCACTGTAACAAATATATACAAAGTACTCCAAACTTGTTCTCCTCTCATACTGTGCTTTCCTCCCTTCACCTACCCCCTATCTAGTCACTGTAACAAATATATACAAAGTACTCCAAACTTGTTCTCCTCTAATACTGAGCTTTCCTCCCTTCACCTTCACATCTCAGTTGTTTCTGTCTATCCGTCTTACTTTCCCCTGCTCTAAATGGCCGGTGTTGAGTTGATGTCCGTACGTTTCCTCAAACAAAACAGACAATCAGATTTTGTGTGTGTAACTTGCATCGATAGCGATGGAAAAGTCTGAAAACACTTGTAAACAGAAATGCTGATTTTCGAGATAATTCTGGATTTTTGAAATTGTCCAAATTTTAAAATTTTATATGCTCTTGCTTAAACTTATAATGTACATTTATTATGTTAATGTACATTTATTGTGTTTTAATCTCTTCTTGCTTCTCATTATTGCACTTTATATAAAAATAGTCTAGACACAAGATGCATTTGACAATATAATCCACAAACTTTGATTCCCTGAGTGCATGTTTCAACGGGTTCTGAAAAGTCGAGGATTTTCCTTCTCTGGCCAGAGAGGTAACCTCTGGTAGTAATGTTGAAGGATTGTCGTCTTCTTTGACGTCTAAATTCAGACACACAGACTTACGGGAGGCAGGGAAGACTATAGTTATTTGAAATGCCGTTTTTTTCTGAGATTTAGTTTTTTTGGCTTTAAAAACATGCAGAAATTTGAGGAATACAGCGTAAGGAAAAAAAATTCTTAAAAAAAAAAACCCAGTAAAAGAAAAGAGGAGTGGTTTGCAAGGCAATTGAATTCTTTTTTCCTCAGTGAAAATTTTGACATCCTGCCTTTCCTAACAAACATCTATTGTATTTTCTCTCCTCTTTCTCTCCTTCTCTTTATTGTAGGCCTACTGTACACTCTAGTGTCACCTCGAAACTTTGGCGTTTGTGTGACCTATTTGTGTGGCAAATGCTGTAAAACTATTAACAAAAACTACACTAAAGGCAGTAGTGTTCAGAGACTAAATTTCTCACACAAGAGTGAGAGTCTAGTGCCTCTTCATGTTAGTTCCAAATAAAAAAAATGAAGTCAGCAGAATGATATTGAGCTTCTTGCTGTCAGTGAAGACTTACAGTTTGTCAACAACAAAAGGAATCTATGCTCGCTTTCTTTGTAAAGAAGGCAAGCGACATGAACATGCTCCGTATCACGCGACACAGTTTTATAAAACTACAAAGATGTTGTATACTGGACTAGTAGCTTAACCCTCTATGAATTCACCACGTGTGAGTTTCACAAAATGTCACCAAAAGGTTAAAGTTGAAGTCTTCAGGCAGGTGGTTGGAGGTGCCATTGATAGGTCCTACTTCTTTTCTTCCCCTCTGTTGCTTCTGTCTATCTGTCTGGCTGGTTGGAGGTGCCATTGATAGGTCCTACTTCTTTTCTTCCCCTCTGTTGCTTCTGTCTATCTGTCTGGCTGGTTGGAGGGCACCATTGATAGGTCCTACTTCTTTTCTTTCCCTCTGTTGCTTCTGTCTATCTGTCTTGCTTCTTCCCTGCACTTTATAACCTTACTGTGTCCACGTGTTTCTTATCACTCACATTCAAAAGTTCAAAGTCTTCAGATTCATTTCGTGACAAGGAACAGTTTTGCATGATTTCAGCGATACATTCACAGCGTTGGGGTTGTACTTAACATCGGCGACGGCATTACTCTCGGCATGGTGCTTCTTTCTTTCTTGTTTTGTTCCATCATTTCTCTCCTCTTCTTCACTTCCTCCCTCAGCTTCTGGAACTCGGGGTGGTTCAGTTTGTAGCTGAGCTTCCACAGCACGGGTTGTGACCTCGGCACGTACCGCTGGCCGAACAGATCTGTTTTCTGACCGGGTGGGGGCGGCGATGGAGGAGGGGAGGGAACCGGCATAAACCTGTGAGCATATTTCTTGTAGTTCTCGGGCGGAAGAATATCACCTGAGAACAGAAGAGAACAGAATGTGTGAGCCGTCGGGGTGGAATCAGACAACAGAATGTGTGAGCCGTCGGGGTGAAATCAGACAACAGAATGTGTGAGCCGTCGGGGTGAAATCAGACAACAGAATGTGTGAGCCGTCGGGGTGGAATCAGACGCTCCTCAAAGTAATCAAATCAAAGAAAACTGCATTTTTCTTACCATTTGGCAATTTTTGTCGAATTTTGATTTTTTGACTCAACACCTTTCATGTCAATTTATAAACAGCTTGCTGTGTGGCTTTTACTGAAAAACGTTGATTAAAGACACAAACAATGTAAATTTACAGTTTTCAACAACTCTCAAGCTTTGGAGGTCACCAAACTTTGGTGGCAATTTTCTCTCTTATTTTACTTCTGAAATCAGGTGACCCCCATGACCTCCTTCAATCCAAAATATCTCGACTTCTGTTAAAGATAGATGGACAGTTTTTAATCGAAAGCAAGACAAATTAACACGCTAAAAAGATGATACCAAAAACTCCATGATATGTCAAAAAATTGACGAGCGCCTGATTCCACTGGGTCGTGACACATTTTAAAAACTGATCATCATTAACAAGAACAATCAAGAAGTGACAAATCAAGTTTCTAGGACACGACCCCATATAAAGACTTAGAACATCTAGCTCAAACTGGAAAAAATTGAAGATAAACGAGGCAGGGGTAGACCCAGAGAAACATTTTTGGAAAACTAGAAGAAATGAGTGACGGGGAAACATCAAACACAATACAGTATAACACGGATAGCTTGAATTCATCAGGACCCACCTCAGTGGTTCGACGGATATCTTACAAAGCTAAAGAAGAAGAAAAAACCCTGGACCGCAGGCACAGTTCGATGGATGCATAATTTTGAGTTTTCTGTGTTTGAGAGCTTCTAGGAGAGAAAGGAATGGAGAGCCATGATCGCAAATGTCAGTTTTAGATCTAGCATTTGATAATGATCAGTAGATAATAATTTTATGTATGAAATTTACATAGCCCAGAAAGCAAAATTTTTCAGGAGAGAGAAAAAGTTGTATCATTCTTTTAACAGCTGCATCTATAGGGCCTACATTCTGTCTTTCTTGCTTTTTTGAAAACATTTAGAATTGGAATTTGGACAAAATATTTCTTGAGCACATGCAACTGATACCATAGATTAAGAAACTGCAACAAAGAAAATGTCAAAATGTTGGACTTGTAACATCTGAACAGATGGCCAATGCTAGAAGGAACTGTCCTCCTTCAACACTACAGGAACCATACCCTGAGTTAGTATTATTAGATCACAGTTGATGAAAGAAAAAATGGGAGAAAAAAAAAGATAATATCTTGAAAGGAAACAATGTTACATTATGTAGACATTATGAATATACAGTCTAGCACACAAGGCACGTAAATCAGTGGGACACGGAAATCTTTTCGCTATGTACAAATATAAGTGTTTTAAATTGCGGAAAATATTTGTATAAGAAAAGATTTGGGTCCTGAAAATCTGTTCACTAAGTGCATTTTTCACTAAGTGAGTGTTTCACTATGTGTATGCTCACTAAGTGTGTGTTCGCTGAGTACATGTTTTGCAATAAGCGCATTCGTTATAAATAAATATATATATATATATATATATATATATATATATATATATATATATATATATATATATATATATATATATATATATATATATATATATATATATATATATATAAATATATATATATGTGCTATACTGTAATACCTATACACACAGACTGAAGTTTACCTTTCTCATTTATTGGAGGATGACGACCGTCAGATTTACACTTCAGTTGTTTGAACTCGTGCACATCCGTCTTCGTCCGTCTGATAGCCAAATTCTTCGCCTTCGGATTCTGGAACAATCTTGTCTCTTTGATGTATTTTTCAAAGGTATTTTCTCCCACGTTGGAGGCTGCGGGTATGTTCAGGGGGTACATGGCCGCTATCACATCTGTAACCTTCTTCCCTTCTGGTGAAAAATTGAGTCCAAACTGCTTTCGGAAATTTCGCCAGATGTTACTGTTGTAACTTGTGTCAGGTCGAGTGGGGAACGGAGCGTCGTGCTTGCCGGCTTCCACCCACAGTCGATGCTCAACGGTCGGTTGTTGAACGGTGAACTCCCTCGACGGAGTGCGCAGGAAGTGACAGCACTCGATGTCCACCATAGTGTGAGGCCTTGACCTTGAAGTTAGCCGCTCTACTGGCCTCGGTGTGAAGCCCGACCTGTGCGGTAGCTGGGGAACCATGAGGTTCTCCCTTTCTTCAAGGGAGAGTTTTGTAGCCGCTTTGTCCATGGTGGCTGAGCTGGACAAACAAAGCTCTGGAAAACAAATGAAAAAAATTTTTTTTTCAATATTTCTAAAGCACATGCAAAGGATTAAGTCCACTACTGCAATTTTTTAAAAATATTTAATTTTGGGCATACCAGGCCTACTACAGAACAGTTTATCGATGTCAATTTGATTTTTTTTAAAAGATAATAAAAGATCAGTGAAGTAGAATCATAAATCATAAGCATGTGTCTCTTTTCCTTAATTTAATGCTTGAAAATTGCATTGCAGTTCTAAAATAACATTTATTGCTGCCTGCTAATGCCTCTGCTATCTTTTTGGTGTTGTGTGTTGACAGAAGGCACAATATATACAAAATAAAGCCTATATGTTGCCAGATAACGTGTTATTGAGATGTAGCCAGAATTATCTAGTATCTTTAATACACTGCTGTTTCAGCTTGTTAAGGCTATATGTTTTATACGTATCTGTGTTGATATCAATCGGCATATATATATATTTATAT